TTCATCAGGGGAGGGCAGGGAATAGGAAATGCTCTATTTACTAGGGCACCCCCTAGAATAACTAGGCATAATGGCCACAAGTTGATGGAGAGCAGATTTAGATTGGACATTAGAAAGAACTTCTTCACAGTAAGGGTTGCCAGAATCTAGAATGGGCTCCCAAGGGAGGTGGTGCTCTCGCCTACCTTGGGCATCTTCAAGAGGAGACTGGACAAGCACCTAGCTGGGGTTGTCTGTCCCCAGCACTCATTCCTGCCCAGGGCAGGGGGTCCGACTTGATGATCTGCTGAGGTCCCTTCTGACCCTAACTTCTATGAAACTATTTGCAATCCTTATGCTGGCATACACAGGAAACTCTCTTGAGATGTGGTAGATGCCTGGCAGTCCCTTGTTTCAGGGCTTTTGCTGGGCACATGCAGGGACACATGCAAGTATTCCCCCACCCCCTCATAAATACTGCCTGATTTTCACGGGAGAGGCAGGAGTACCCTTCTCTGAAGCATTGGACATTGGTCCTTGCTAAGGCCAAGAGGTTTTGATTGAGGTACACTGGTGGCCTTGCCACTACTTCAAGCATCATAGGTTCCTGGCTAGAGAAGCTTGCTCTTGCTTTCAGGGGCATACTCATGGTCAAATTTGGGGTCAGGAAGGAATTCTTTCCCAAGGTTAGATTGTCAAAGACTGTGGGGATTTTTTTTTTTTTTTGCCTTCTTCTGTAGTATGAAGAGATATTAATCAACTACTTCCCCATTGCTGAAGTGGCAGGCCATTGGCAGAGCCCTCATCTCTCCTACTTTTCTCTATGTCGTGTTGTTGGGTGTTCCTGGTGTTTCTATTTTTGTGCCCTATATCTGAGTGTGAGGGTCTGAAGGGGCAATTTTGAAGACCCTTTGGCTTGGTTCCCTGCAAGTGCAGGGGGTTGGACTTGATGGTCTAGCAGGCCCCTTCCAGACCTATATTGGAAAGTCAGAGCTTCCCCTTGTAGCCTCCTTCTCCAAGGGGCTGACTCATAAAAAGGAGGAATTAGTGGCTGGCAAATGTGGGGTATCCTGAGTTTAATTGCTTAGCTCCCTTGCTTTTGTTTTCAATTATATACAGGACATCCAGGTAGCCAGCTGGCATTAGGGGCAACTCAAGGGGCTCTGAGAAGGCAGGATGAGGGGAAGCGGGAACAAACTGTGATCAGAACTCAAATTCCAATTCTCTCCACAATCCTAGTAGCCAGAGCTCAGAGACTCCCCCTATCCTGACCTGCGCCCAGAACTCTGTTTTCAATTCCCCTTTGAGTCAAACCCAGAATTCAGCTTGTAATTCCTTTCAATCTGCTCAGATTGAAAACTCAGGGGCAAATCGTCCTCCCAAAACCTGCCACAGAACCCTGATTCTGATGATCACCAAACTCCTAACCTGCACAGAATCTACACCCTGGTCCCTTCCCGGAGCTCAGGTATCAAACTGCTCCCTCCCCAGCTCACCCAACATTTGGGAAAGGTCAGGATTGAGCACAGTGGCAATAAGATTATGCAGTTACATAACTGGTTCTAAATTGGTTATTTTTTAAAATGAATAAACTCAGCTTTCTTAGCCTCACTCTTGACTATTTGGTTGATTGTTAATAGGCATCCCTACAGAGTTGAGCCAAGGACCTGATTAATCACAGGAGGTTGGGCTTTGTTTGAAATATGGAAACCATATTACTATAGTTTATGGCATTACAGCAGTAAAAAGGAATAAAATAGAACAGTTTTGGACTCTATGTTTTAATAACAACATGGAAAAATTAGGGAAGGTTCAAAGGCAGGCAACAAAATGATGAAGTGCTTGGAATGCAAGTCATATGAGGAGAGGTTCAAAGAAATAAGCCTGTTCAACTTGTGGAAATGTGATTAAGAGGGGATACGATACCAATCTTCAAATCTCTGAAGGGCTACCATAAAGAAGAGGGAAAGCACCTTTTCTCCATTGTTGCTTCTCCTAGATCAGGCATGATCTAGGAGAAGCAAAGCCTGGAGTGTGTTCTGAAAGCAACAGTTGAAAGCTCAAGAAACTCCAGCAAAATACACATTGCTTGGAGATCATGAGACGAGCTCTGCAGCCCAGAGCAGATGGAAACTGGAAAGGGCCAGGTTCAGTATCGGGTGAATGAAGAAGAGCTCCACAACCAGACTGGTCACAAAAGAAAATTAAAGGAGCTGGGGATAAGACGATAGGGAGTTCTGGCTCTGTAGTCAGGGTGTGTGTTGTGTGCAGTTGTGTTCACAGTTCCCAGGCTGTAGCGCAGAGTGGAAAGTGTCTGGTTATTATCCCATGCTCCTGGGCTTTGCTGGTTGCTACATGGGGCCAGGAAGGAATTTTTCCCCTTCCTGTTGCTACTGATGTCAGCATTTCCCCCTCCCTCCTCAGAAGCATTGGGTGTCAAGGCTGGGACTTTGACTAGGTTGTACCAGTGCTTCTACTGGGACTACAAAATCCAGAGGTTCCTGGCTAGAGGGTCTTGTTACTCCAGTCATGGTTAGATTGTTCACTACATCTGGGATCAGGATATACTCCACAGTTTTGAGATATACCCCATGATCAGATCAGCATGGACTGTGGGGATTTTTGTCTTCCTCTTTAGTAGGGGCACAGCCCTCTTCCTCGGATCTAGCAATGTCCTTGCAGTGGCAGGACATTAATCCCCCACTTTACCTGTGGCAGATTAGGTGTTTTTGGTGCATTGTGTTGGCAGTTGCATAAGAGGGTTGTTCGTGTAGTGTAAGAATGGGTTAGATCAGGGGCCAGTCACCTTTTGCCAATGCAGCTAGAGCTTGTGACCTGGCCCTGGCTGCAGGCCGGAAGTCTCACTTCCTTCCACCTCTCCCCTCCCCGCCAGCTGACAGCTGCCTCACCTTTGCTGCAGATTCCTGACCTCTCTGCTGGCAAAGAAAGTACAGACACTGCAAAGCGCTAGAAAGGGCCTGGGCAGCATGGCAAAGCTCCGTGCCACCAATCCCCTGGGCCAGACTGAAGTTTGCAGGCTGGATTAGACCTCTGCAGGTTGGATCCAGCACACAGGTCATAGGTTGCTGACCCCTGAGTTAGACAAACATTTGTATAGGATGGTTTGGATAGGGATGATCCTGCTTTGAGCAGGGAGTTTGACTGCTTGCCCTCCTGAGGTCTCTTCCCGCCCTACTTCTCCAAGATTCCACGAAAAACATTTCAAAATCATTTTTCTTGTTCAGTGTATTGCTAAAATATGGTGGGCTGTCTGTCTACAGATACTCTAAAAGAGAAGTGCTTGGGTGTATTTAATTTCCTTTAACATTTACCAAACCCTCCAAGGACTACCTGGATATAACAGGTCACTGGCCATTTTGATCCTGAAATTCATTATTAAGTTCATAGTTAGGAAATGCTGGTAATCCCAGCTGAAGCTGTACTTCATCCTGGCATTTGTGCAAGGACTCCTTCTGAGACAGACTGATACTGGAGCTGAGAGCTGCCACGACTCGTTCCTCCTCCCATGTACTACTGGGGGTGTCTGAGCGCTCCCCCATGACTAACACTCTCCATTCCCAGTGCCATCAAAACCTGGGCCTGGAGTTGCTGTGCCATTCCTCACGGCCACAGCTCGAAATCACGGCTCGAAATCACACCATGCCTTCTGCTGGGAGAACTGTAGACTGGAATCACTGTGAGTTAGCTGCTGCCTACCCAGGAAGCTGAACTCTTGGCTACAGGTTATACTAAAGTCAGCTAAACTCAAATTTCTGAGTTGCAGCCTATTCCTGCCACAACTGCAAGCATCATGGAAAACAGATGAAAATCTCTTAGGCTTGCCATAAAGTTGCGAGTGTCAGCAATCCTGTGATTCATATCTCATTCGAAGCTCCCAGGGAAACTTGCCTTTGATCCCAGCAGCCAGAACCACGGCAAATCAATGTTCAAAGCCGTGGACTGAAGAGGCATACAACAACCCTTCATTTTTCACAGGACGTCATGAGATGATCTTTCATCATCGTAAGACACTTGAACAGAGATTGGAGTTTGTGTTCTCACTGCATTGTGAATGTATTAAATGGACTTTTTTGCCACAGGGAAAGGAGGCAGAAATACCCGAAACGTCGCCACGCCCGAGCATTCCAGTCACTCCACCCAAATCACGTGATTATGTTTAAATCAAGTAGACGTCTTTAAAAACGGTAGCATCCAGATGATGCAGCTGTGATGGTGCAGAAATTAGGCAAGAGGCAAGGATTTCTTTAGGGTAATATTCTGTATTAGATCATCTATGCATTTGGGATCAAGTCAGACAAGGTTTAGGAGGCGAGGTCTCAGGCTTCTTTAAAAAACCTTCATTTGGTTTTTGGGACCTTAGGTTTCACCCAGGTCACACTTTTCTTTGCACAAAAGCAATTAGAGGCTTATTTTTTATAACCAATAAAGCCGACAGTCTCGTATAAGCACTTGACTGCAGGAGCTGAGGCTTTAAGAATCAGATCAAATATTGGAAAGCTTGTAATAAAATCTGTTGCGTGAACCATACTGGGTCATCACACACCTCTCTGCCCAGAGGCGTCTTCATATGACTACGGGCCACCGCTGGGCTGTAGCAAGCTTTGCCCCTGGGCTCGGGGCCCGGCCCCATCCCCTCCAGTCCAGTATGTGTCAAGATGTGGGGGGATCGGACATGCCCTGGGCCACTGCGGCGCGGCGCAGCGCAGTACCCCCTGCCCCGCTGTGGTGAACCAGGCCCTGCCAGTCACCTCAGCGCAGCCCATTGCACCATCTCGTCACAACATGACGGCATAACTCGAGCACAGGCCGGGCGGCGCGGGCAGGCCGCAGCGGTTGCCACAGCAACAGACGCGTCCTTCCTTCCTTCCTGTATTGATTCGAACGGGCCCAGGGGGCGGGGCTCCCGTGATGCCCCGCGCCGGGGGCGGGCCGGGGCAGTGGGGGGAGCGGAGCGGCCGCCATATTGGGGGCTGTGAGGGCGGCGGAGACTGACAAGAGGCGGAGCGGTGTCGGTCGGGCAAGTGAGTGGTGCTGGGGACGGGAGCATG